CTTTTTAGTTTTTAAAATAATATTAAAGAGTTTAGTGAGCCAAGAAACTCCCAAATCTCCCAAATATTTCCACACTTCAATTGGGATATCATCAGGTCCTACAGACTTTCCACCCTTGGTTTTCTTTAAAGCCTCCTCAACTTCTTTTTTGCTAATGCGACGGTAAAAATGAAACGTTTTATTATTATTTACGATATTAAAATCACTAAGTTCGATCGTATTTTCAGAATCTTCATTAAAAAGTTTATCAAAGTAACTCACCCACCTATGTTGAATATCTTTTTCTAAGAAAAGTACTTTTTGATTTTCATCTTTAATACACTTTACTTGAGTTAAATCTTTACTTTTCTTTTCTCTTTGTTTGGCTAGTTTATTTTTCACCCTCCTTAGTATCTAATATATTATAAAGATCATTAAAAACAGAATTTTTAGCGTCACAGATTGTTTTTCAGATTATTCTTTTAGACTCCCTACGGGCCATTTGGATTCTCTTTTTTATCTCCATAATAATCATCATCATGAGGCAAATTGGACTAATCAAAAAAAGGATTTAAGCTATGTAGCACCAAAAATTCTAAAAATGTGTCGTAACACACGTATATACACCGACATTTGTCCAACATGCCTCGACACTTCTCCGACATTATAAAATATGACTAAATTTTTTTAAGCCCAAACACCTTCGGGACACCTCGACATCGCATCGAACATGAGTTTAATAAGATTTCAAGAAAATGAAACTCGAGAATTAGAAAATTATAAATATATGTATAGCATTAACTATATCTCATAGTCAAAATCATCCCATCTCTCGTCATGTAAAAACTCCCTCTGACATTCGTCAAAATTGAGCATCGAAGATGCATCTAATATTCGTCTAAGTCAAATATAAGTAATTCTCTCTTTGTAATCATATGATTTTTTAAAATTTTAATAGATAAGTTGGATTATAATTTGAATGAAATCTTATATCTAATTTTAAAAATTAATTTTCATAAGCATGAGGTTTTATACTACAAATTAAGTTCATGAAGTTAAATTTTATTATTGTATAATTCGTATTGTGATGGTTTTCATAATGAATATTTTAAAAATATATATTTTATATTAATAATTAATTAAATATATTATGGTGACTTGGTTGA